ATTGCCATATTTGGGCTTCGTGCCAACTATTTGAACCCTTCGGGAATTTTTATCACTGTTTCCTCACTACTTGACTTATTATTTGAACTCAGTCCTGTTGATATCTACTGTTTTACAAACTGCGCCACTTTTACTCAGATTTGAAACTTAATGATATTTCTACAACATGTTTTGGGCTGAGAACTACTGTTTTACTAATGGCCAAGGGGCTTGTGATGATTTTTGGACTGAGTGAGGCCGAGGGCCATATGTGAGGATATGCTGAGTGATATGAGGCCGAGGGCCTGAGATACTTTATATGCCACGAGGCGGCTTGAGTGATGTGAGGCCGGGTGCCGAGTGATGATGCCATGAGGTGGCTTGATATAGCGCTTAGGCCGTAAGGGGCCCCTCCGGAGTCTGCACACCCACAGTGAGCGCGGGTACCCATTGTTCTGAGTGATTGATGTTATGCCCGAGGGGCTGATATGAGTGATGGTGAAGTAGCCCGAGGGGCTGCTACTATTCTGAGAGTGAGCCCAAGAGGCTGATACTCTGCTGAGCGAATGATACTGTGCCCGAGGGGTGGATTTCTACTTGTTATTAACCTGTTAAATTACCTGTTTTAAAAAGGAATATCATTTTACTTGTTTTAAAAAGGAATATCATTTGATTCTTCACTGATTTACTGCTTTAAGTGATTTTACAGCTTAATATGGAATTTCTTTGTGCCTTTACGTGTTTTCATACTTTCAGCCATTATTTATAATTATTATTTACTGAGTCGGAGTACTCACATTACTCCATGCACCGTGTGTGCAGATTCAGGTATAGCAGAGTTTTCGCACCTGAGCGCTGATTCCGTCCACGCTAGGCAGTGATTTGGAGTTACGAGGTAGCTGTTGACGTATGCAGCCCCTTGTCTCTCTTATCCTCTATCATTTATGTTTTCTCCAGACTGTTGTATCGGATTTCGTACTTTGTAGACCTATAGTAGATTCTGTAGTAGCTCATGACTTGTGACACCCCGGTTTGGGTTGTGTCGGGATGGTTCTTGCGGTTATTACCGTTAAATTCCGCAATTTATGAGTATTATATTATATGTTATTACTATTTATGATGATTAACTGTTTAAAAGAGGTGTTCCATTTTGGTCTGGCTGGCCTTGTCTTCACGAGAGGCGCCATCACGACCGGGTTCGGGGATTGGGTCGTGACAGGTCGGGTCATATAATTTATCCGTTTTTTAAGTTATCTGTTTTGACCTGCTCATATCCGATCCAACCTGTCCATTTGCACCCCTAATCAAGACAACAGAAACCCTGCTACTAACAGCAAAGACGTTGTATAACTCAATTACTAGAGTTCATGATTCCCCACTACATTTTATATTTATTTTTTCCTTGTGGGGATATACAGTGTATTGTAGGTGGGGATGGTCCTGTCATCACAAATCAGAAAAGGAAATTATAACCTTTTTAACAGATACTCACATTATTGGTATCTGCACAACCACAATTGGCATATTCACCAAACAGTTCATATTCAAAATCTTGTTTGATTTCAAGATTATCATTGGAAAAGCAATTGGCATTCGTAAAGATTTAATACTTTTGGCAGATCGACACAAGGCCATTGCAAACGGAATTGCAAAAGTTTTCCCCGAGTGCTAACATGGTATTTGCATATATTATTTAGAAAAGAATCTAAAGCAAATAAGAGTGAGAAACACTGTAATAAAACTGTTTCAAAGTGCTACAAGAGTACACATTCAATTAGAATTTGATGACTTTATGTCCCAAATAGCTGTTGTTGATAAGAAAACATTCAACTATTTGATGGAGGAACCACCAGGAAGATGGGCTCGTTCACATTGTCCAAGACGACGATATGATATGCTAACAACAAATATTGTTGAGTCCATGAATAATGTTTTGCGACGTGCAAGAGAATTGCCACTTTTAATAATGATGGATATCATACAAGAAAAATTGCAAAGCTAGTTCTATGAAAGAAGGACAATTGCAGAAGGAATATTCCGTGAGTTATCAAATTGGGCAAAAGCAACATTGGAAGAAAAAATTAAACCAGCTTTTACATTTAGAGTATTGCCCATTGATCGACTCAAATTCAATGTCAAAGAAGGGGGTATGGGATTTATTGTTGATCTAGACAAAAGAACATGTGATTGTTCTGAATTTCAGCTAGATGAGATACCCTGTGAACATGCAATTGCTGCAATTGAAACTATTTATCAAAAGAAATCGGCCTTTTACTCGGCCTATTATTCAAGGGACATTTGGTTGAAAACGTATGAAGGGCAAGTAAATTCTGTAGGTGATTCAACAACATGGGTTACACCACATACTACTAAGTCAGAAATCACTAAGCCTCCAGATGCAAAAGTAATGCTAGGAAGAAGACAGAAGAATCGACATGTTTCCTGTACAGAATTCAAGAAGGAACCAAGATGTAGTTGTTGCAAAAGATATGGGCATAACAGAACAAATTGCACAAATTCCGCAGTAGTTCATGCTTATGCAAGAAAATACAGGAAAAAGAATGATTGATTATATACAATAAGGTTGCATGGGCTCATGCGAAAAACTGATTGTAATCCCGAATAATTTGTTCGGTATTCTTGTTATTCAAAATATTATTACTGTCTATTTTTTTGTTTCTTGATTTGTTGCAGTTACATAATAATTTTTTCTTTCCATATATCTATCAGATTTTCTATCTAATACTCATTAAATATATTGGAACTCAGAATAATATATTGATCCAGTATAATATATATATCAACATTTAGTATAATCAGTATAATATACTGATCTAATATATTATACTAATCCATTAAATTATACATATCGAGTAAATTATGCAGGAAAGTTTGTTTGTTTTAGATATCAATTCAGAAATCTCCACCCATATTATAATGGTGTGTTGATGTTGCTTTGCAATATTTTATGCAATATTTTTCTCTAGTTTTGCATCAAAGATACATCTAGTACTATATGGGTGGTCGTTTGTTGTTTTCATATATCTAACCGTAAAAGTTTAGTCATTATTAAGTTTTTTTCATCTATGTAACCTCCCAGTTGTCATTATCCATCTCAGGCATACCCGGCATCTTCCTAACTCCCGGCATTCCAGGCGTCATACCACCAGTTCCTCGCCGATAGCCGCTAGAAATCAAGCCGCCTTGAGGACCACGTGAGTTTCTCATGCTTGCAGTGGCACCAGAACGCAACTTCAAGGTCTTTGCTTCCGTGTGAATCTCTGTGATGATTTTTGGTTTCCCCTGTGCAAAAAAAGAGAGAATATTACATTAAGTGAGATAATTCTATGGCATGAACAGGAAACAAATATAAGATAGAATGATGTGTCACCTCTTCCCGTCTAAGCACCCAGTTATTGGAACGTAAATCCAGCACATCAAGAACCATACACCTTAAACGTGGAGCCAACTGAAGGTTTGTAGAGAGTTCTTTCAACCGGTTAAAGTACACATCGTTGATGCGCCTTAACTTGTGTTTCTCATCAAGCAGTTTTCCAATGGAGTTGAAGAACTGGCAAATGGCTTCAACATTCTCTTCTTCCGGACAACTTTTGGGATCTTGTCCTAATAGTTCCTGTTGAACAAAACCAGCAAAGACAACAATTGGTAGAGTGCAAGGTATTAAAGGCAGCAATCAGCATGGAAACAAATAGACCTGAGCAAAAGGCAAGAAATTAACAACCTGAACGATGTGATGAACAATCTTTTCAGGGACCATCTTTTGCTTCACAAGCTCTCCGATAAGCCGTATACTGCCAAGAGTCCGCAATTTTATCAACCTTTCTTTGTCCTTGCGTTCTGACTCCTGCTCCAGGGATGTCATTTGCCTCGCCTCTTCACGCAGATTGGCAGCACCTTCAAATGCCTCCTGACAATTATTCAATATAACACGCTTGAATGTAATCTCTTTGCCACCAGGCTCATCAGAAGGAAATGGTGGCAGCTTTGCATTGAGATCAGAAAACAGTTGGGCATACATCGTGCAAAATGTTGGTTCCAGTACAGCCTTGTCAAATATCAAGGTAACAACACCCTGGAGTGAAGATAAAAACATGTTAAATCTCCAGGAGTGACATGAAAAATATTGAACTGAAAAATAACCACCAAAGACAGATGTATCCGCTGGTTAGGGGAGGACAGACCTTCAGAATGTCTGCACTAGTTATCCCTGTAATTATCAATTGTCTATTTAGGAGATTAAACTTCTTCAGAGTCGGCTCATTCAGTACACTGCAAATCAATATTTGGTAATATCAATGAAAAACTCTGTATCTTCAAATAATGCCGCAACAGAGTTATCATTCTCTAATAATAAAAAAATTGAAACCAAGAACCTCATGCATACATGAGAAAATCTCACGCATACTAACATACAGACTAAATACATATCAACGTCTTCTATCTTTGCATAGGGTAGATGCAAAGATGGACAGCAATTAGCTTTGAATTAAATGGATAACTATCACAGAGAAAAAAAAATTACCCCATAACAGTCTTCAAGACACAATCTTTCTCGGAAAGATCGCTTTTTCGAGCTGCTGAACACGGCTGCTCGGCTTTGTCAAGTGTAGGAGCAGGTTCTCCCTGATTCACAAACAAAGTATAGGTTTCTGAGATCAAGAACTGATAGATAGCCTCCCTCCATACACTTGTTGTCTTAACATCAAGACAACAGAAGAGTGAGAAACACTATAATAAAACTGTTTCAAAATGCTGCAAGAGTATACATTCAATTAGAATTTGATGACTTTATGTCCCAAATAGCTGTTGTTGATAAGAAAACATTCAACTATTTGATGGAGGAACCACCAGCAAGATGGGCTCGTTCACATTGTCCAAGACGACGATATGATATGCTAACAACAAATATTGTTGAGTCCATGAATAATGTTTTGAGACGTGCAAGAGAATTGCCGCTTTTAACAATGATGGATATCATACAAGAAAATTGCAAAGTTGGTTCTATGAAAGAAGGACAATTGCAGAAGGAATATTCCGTGAGTTATCAAATTGGGCAGAAGCAACATTGGAAGAAAAAACTAAACCAACTTTTACATTTAGAGTATTGCCTATTAATCGACTCAAATTCAATGTCAAAGAAGGGGGTATGGGATTATTGTTGATCTAGACAAAAGAACATGTGATTGTTCTGAATTTCAGCTAGACGAGATACCCTGTGAACATGCAATTGAAACTATTTATCAAAAGAAATCGGCCTTTTGCTCGGCCTATTATTCAAGGGACTTTTGGTTGAAAACGTATGAAGGGCAAGTAAATTATGTAGGTGATTCAACAACATGGGTTATACCACATACTACTAAATCAGAAATCACTAAGCCTCCAGATGCAAAAGTAATGCTAGGAAGAAGACGGAAGAATCGACATGTTTCCTGTACAGAATTCAAGAAGGAACCAAGATGTGGTTGTTGCAAAAGATATGGGCATAACAGAACAAATTGCACAAATTCCGCAGTAGTTCATGCTTATGCAAGAAAATACAGGAAAAAGAATGATTGATTATATACAATAAGGTTGCATTGGCTCATGCGAAAAACTGATTGTAATCCCGAATAATTTGTTTGGTATTCTTGTTATTCAAAATATTATTACTGTCTATTTTTTTGTTTCTTGATTTGCTGCAGTTATATAATAATTTTTTCTTGCCATATATCTATCAGATTTTCTATCTAATACTCATTAAATATACTCGAACTCAGAATAATATATTGATCCAGTATAATATATATATCAACATTTAGTATAATCTGTATAATATATTGATCTAGTATATTATACTAATCCATTAAATTATATATATCGAGTAAATTATGCAGGAAAGTTTGTTTGTTTTAGATATCAATTCAGAAATTTCCACCCATATTATACTGGTGTGTTGATGTTGCTTTGCAATATTTTATGCAATATTTTTCTCTAGTTTTGCATCAAAGATACATCTAGTACTATATGGGGGATCGTTTGTTTTTTTCATATATCTAACTGTAAAAGTTTAGTCATTATTAAGTTTTTTCCATCTATCTAACCTCCCAGTTGTCATTATCCATCTCAGGCATACCCAGCATCTTCCTAACTCCCAGCATTCCAGGCGTCATACCACCAGTTCCTCGCCGATAGCCGCTTGAAATCAAGCCGCCTTGAGGACCCAGAGGACCACGTGAATATCTCATGCTTGCAATGGCACCAGAACGCAACTCCAAGGTCTTTGCTTCCGTGTGAATCTCTGTGATGATTTTTGGTTTCCCCTGTGCAAAAAAGAGAGAATATTACATTAAGTGAGATAATTCTATGACATGAACAGGAAACAAATATAAGATAGAATGATGTGTCACCTCTTCCCATCTAAGCACCCAGTTATTGGAACGTAAATCCAGCACATCAAGAACCATACACCTTAAACGTGGAGCCAACTGAGGGTTTGTAGAGAGTTCTTTCAACCGGTTAAAGTACACATCATTGATGCGCCTTGACTTGTGTTTCTCATCAAGCTGTTTTCCAATGGAGTTGAAGAACTGGCAAATGGCTTCAACATTCTCTTCTTCCGGACAACTTTTGGGATCTTGTCCTAATAGTTCCTGTTGAACAAAGCCAGCAAACACAAAAATTGGTACAGTGCAAGGTATTAAAGGCAGCAATCAACATGGAAACAAATAGACCTGAGCAAAAGGCAAGAAATTAACAACCTGAACGATGTGATGAACAACCTTTTCAGGGACCATCTTTTGCTTCACAAGCTCTCCAATAAGCCGTATATTGCCAAGAGTCCGCAATTTTATCAACCTTTCTTTGTCCTTGCATTCTGACTCCTGCTCCGGGGATGTCATTTGCCTCGCCTCTTCTCGCATATTGGCAGCACCTTCAAATGCCTCCTGACAATTATTCAATAGAACACGCTTGAATGTAATCTCTTTGCCACCAGGCTCATCAGAAGGAAATGGTGGCAGCTTTGCATTGAGATCAGAAAACAGTTGGGCATACATCGTGCAAAATGTTGGTTCCAGTACAGCCTTGTCAAATATCAAGGTAACAACACCCTGGAGTGAAGATAAAAACATGTTAAATCTCCAGGAGCGACATGAAAAATATTGAACTGAAAAATAACCACCAAAGACAGATGTATCCTCTGGTTACGGGAGTACAGACCTTCAGAATGTCTGCACTAGTTATCCCTGTAATTATCAATTGTCTATTTAGGAGATCAAACTTCTTCAGAGTCGGCTCATTGAGTACACTGCAAATCAATATTTGGTAATATCAATAAAAAACTTTGTGTCTTCAAATAATGCTCTAATAACAAAACTTTTGAAACCAAGAACCTCATGCATACATGAGAAAACCTCATGCATACCAACATACAGACTAAATACATATCAACGTCTTCTATCTTTGCATACAGTAGATGCAAAGATGGACAGCAATTAGTTTTGAATTAAATGGATAATTATCACAGAGAAAATAATTTACCCCATAACAGTCTTCAAGACACAATCTTTATCAGAAAGATTGCTTTTTCGAGCTGCTGAACATGGCTGCTCAGCTTTGACAAGTATAGGAGCAGGTCCTCCCTGATTCACAAAAAGTATAGGTTTTTGAGATCAAGCTGATAGATAGCCTCCTTTCATACACTTGTTGTCTTAACATCACGACTAGAAGTGGCAAAATGGTTAAAAAAAAACAGTCATCCACCTATATTATCCATCAAAAAATGGGTTGGATAATGAACCATTTAAAAACGGGCAGAATATGGATAAAGAACCATATTATCCACTTAGTTGATAATTAATGTGTTAACTTTTACATTTATAAAGCCTCAAATTGGAGTTCCTCAAGTTTGGAAGACAAGGAATTCTCTCATAAGTGACCATGTTTAAAAATTCATGGATAATATGGATATCCATACTATCCGCCGGATAAACCCGTTTTTTATCCGTCTCAAATACGGGTCGGGGGTCATATAATTTATCTTTTTTTTAAGTTATCTGTTTTGACTTGCTCATATCCGACCCAACCTGTACGTTTGCACCCCTAATCAAGACAACAAAAATCTTGTTACTAACGGCAAAGACATTGTATAACTCAATTACTAGAGTTCATGATTCCCCACTACATTTTGTATATTTTTTTCCTTGTGGGGATATACAGTGTATTGTAGGTGGGGATGTTCCGGTCATCACAAATCAGAAAGGGAAATTATAACCTTTTTAACAGATACTCACATTATTGGTATCTGCACAACCTCAATTGGCATCTTCACCAAACAGTTCAGATTCAAAATCTTGTTTGATTTCAAGATTATCATTGGAAATGTTAACCTCCTAGAAGGAAACAATCAACGCAATTTAAAACCAAAAAGGATAAGCACATTAAGGGTACCATAAATCATAGAACAATCATCTTTTGTTTCTTTTATTTGGGGAGGCAGGAGGGATTAAAGGGTGAGAGGAGGACCAAAAGGAAAATAGAAACATATATCCTTTTTTAACAGATATATACTCACATTGGGTATTTGCATGACCTCCACTTGCATCTTAACCAAACAGTTCAGATTCAACCACCTAGTAAACATAAGCAGAAACAAATCAAATTTAACGATAAAAAGATAATGCAAGCACATATCATAATTCAATTGAATCTCAACAAAGAAAGAAAGGTATCAAGAACTTAACATCAAGTAAATACATGTTACAAGCATCAAGAAAACATACATATTTAAAAAAACATCCAACTAAAGGGAGTTGAACAACAAAAAAGATACTCGAAGATGAAATACAAAAGCCAGAATATGAAAGAAAATGGTTGAATTAAGGTTAAGAACTTTACAGCTGATCTTAATAGACTGCGGAACATTTTGTTCATTAGCAACAAATAGTAGAATAATCCTGTAGGTGTTAGTTAATCTCGGCTAAAAACCTCAAATAAAATCTCAATCACAAGAAACGGCAGCTTTTTTGGGCATATTTCTGAGATATAAATAAAGAAAAGGAAAGTAAAGGTTTTGCTTCTGCCTCGAACTCTTAAACATCAAGTTCTCTTTTGTTCGACTTTATGCGGATCTATTTACTTTATATCCGTTCCAAAACAAATGACTCATTTCTAAATTTGGTAACAACTGAGTTTAAATTTACAATTCTATCCTTAATGAGAAGCTTTATAACCATATAAATACTCTGGCCTCTTTTTGATTTGTCTAGAATCACAAATTTCAAAAGTCTTCATTTTTTCTTAAATTCCGTGCTCAGTCAAACATGTTCACATAAATTAGAACGGATAAGTGTCATTTACTGCAAATTCACGTGGAAAAATGAAAAGGCAACATGTCTCGTTCTTTTCCCATTTCCATATTTAATGTGTATATTTGAAATTAGGCTATATAGATGATATTTACATCGTAATATTACCATGTTTTATTGTTATTTTATAGGTAAATTGATAACAAAATGCTCTAAATGGTGTTCTTTTGCTTCGCAGGGAATATTCTAAGCGAGGAAGCACTACGGAGTGTTTTGGAGGCAATAATGTGAAGAAAACGCCAATCAAGAAGTACCCGAGCACAAAGAAGCAAAACAATGGACTGAGTGAATTCCACCGCGATCGCGGTGGAACCGCGGCAGACCAAGTGTTCGAGGCAGAATGTTCAGCATTCACCGTGGTTGAGCCGCGGTCTTGCCGCAACCGCGGTGAATTGTTCACGTGCCAGAAATTTTGGGGACCAAAGTGTAAATCGGGGAAAATTTGTTCCAAACCCTTATAAACTTTAGAAGCTCGTCCAAGACAATTTTAAGCTTGTTTTTAGACTACTTTGAAGGCAAGAACAAGTATGAGAAGATCAACCAAACATCAGAGTTTTTCTATCTCCTTTTATTTTCTTGCAATTACCCATTATGAATAATTTAGTAGTTTTATCTTGCTTTGTCATGGGTAGCTAATTTCCTAGTCTAGGGGTTTGATGGAACTTATTGAAGGAGAAATTTCTTGTTATGTTAATATAATTTACCCAGTTTAAATCTCTATTTGTTCAAGTTCGTGCATGTTGTAGTTAATTGACACGATCCTCAATTAGTTGTGCCTATTTAGTGTGCATAACTCGGGAGAGAGTGCATATTAAAGTAATTGTTGAACAACAACACTCCCAAAGTATATGAGGGATCAATAAGTGAGGGTTTAAAAGCGGGATTAGGGATAACGAAGTCTTGGGTGTAATCTAAAGTGAGATGTAATAAATAAAGTCATCTAACGTAACTTGGAAGAGTGCGTTTAGTCAATTATCGTGATTACTCGGGAGAGATTTACGGTAATAAGAGTGCTCATGATTGATAGAGATGATTATTGGGTGAATCTATGTGAAACATAACCGGAAGGGATTCCATCAATAGGGGAAATCATAACCTTAGAACCTTATTTTAATTGTTTACAACTCAATCATAGTTAGTTTTCAGTTGCTTATTTTCATTCATTTGTAGTTAGTAGAAATATCCTCCATTATTATTCAAACATTTGGGAAGTTGATTCCGAGGAATTTAGTAAGTCTAACGAGAGTAATTGATAGGTTAATTCCTTGTGGGTTCGACTCTAGGCTAAATACTCAGATTATATTTGCAACATCCGCGTGTCCTTTTTGTAAGGCATAGTTGGGCGTGATCAAATCTTGGTGCCATTGTCGGGGAGTTGACGGTGTTATCAATTACAATTGAAAGAAGTACAAAAATTCTTAGTGTAGTCAGTTTTCTCTATACACAATGTTTACATTGAAAGTTTAATGTTTGTTGACTCGGTTGTACAGGTGCATGCCTAGAAACTCATCGAGAACTGGTGAAGTATTTGAAGCATTATCAGATCCCGAGAGAGTTTTCAAGGCTTTGAATCGGGCCAACCGGAAAAACAAACAACAACAAACAATTGAACAATTTGAAACAGACATGGGAGATCACGAAGAAGACCCAACTGTACCAATAGCGCCAGTGGCTCCTCTTGTGCCAGAGGCTGCTCTCTATGACTGGGCACAACCCATAATCATTCCAAATCACGAATAACATGCTGCACTTGTTGCAAAACAAGGGACTATTTTCGGGTTCACAAGTCGAAGATCCTCAACAGCACTTGAAGAATTTCCTATCAATCTACAAAACCCAAAGGCAATCCAACGTAACTCCGGAAGTAATCAAGCTGTTATGGTTTCCATTCTCAGTGATAGGAGCTGCCCAGACCTAGCTAAACACACTCCCCATAAATTCCATAACAACTTGGGAGGAGTTAGTGAAACAATTCCTGAACAAGTTCCACCCACCCAATAAGACAGCTCAACAAATTGATGAAATTTTGAGTTTTAAACAGAGACCAATGGAGACATTGCATGAAACATGGGAACGATTTAAAGGGATTTTGGTTATATATTCGCACCATGGTATTCAAGATCTGATGTTAGGGCAATGATTTTACATGGGATTGTCATATAGCGTGAAGAACATTGTTGATGCTTCAGCTGGTGGAGCATTTTTGAGCAAAACATGGAGAGAAGGCCAGGGTCTGCTCGACAAGATGGCACAGAATTCAGGATGGACAACCAGGAATGCACCTATCACTCCAGTGGTTCACTCTGTGCCCTTAGATCGATCCAACTTTATGGCTGAAAATATGGCCACCTTATTGACACAGAGGAGTATACTCACCAAGAAGATGGAAGAGTCAGGGCAGAAGCAGCAGGTACACATTGTAGATACTACCAATCGGGGCTTGTGCACATCTTACATGAGTCATCCAATTGGTAATCAATGGAATACGGAACATGATCACCATCACTACCCTGAAGACATAAACTATGTGTCTAATTATGGAGGCCAAAGATAGGGTGGTCAGAATTGGCGCCAGCAAAATCAGTCGTACAGGCCAGTCCAGCCACAGTTCAACAATGGGAACATGGGAGGTATGAGACCTCCTAACAATATGGCACCCTACCCAAGGCCACAGGGATATAACAATCAAAATCAGTAGTAGGGGTATCACCCTCCTCAACAGCAGCATGGTGGACGACAGGAAGATGGGTTTGCTAGACTTGAGGCAATGATGCAGCAGATTATTGGGTCTAATGCAAAAATTGGTGAAAGAGTATATGCACATGATTCAGCTATCAAGAATATTGAAGTGCAGATGGGCCAAATTTCGATGTCTCTAAACAATCGTCCTCATGGGACATTACCTGCAAACACTCAAATAAACCCAAAAGATCAAGACCCGAAGCAGCTGATGGCAGTGAGTCTATGGAATGGCAGAGATTTAGACGTGGAGCAAAATAGGGCTCGAGAAAGCAGATAGGATGAGACATGCATACCAGTGCCCATTGAGCTAGATGAGCCAACAAAACTGACAGAGGTGACAGTCCAGCCTGTCCAGGAAGAACATAACATTCAGATTGAGACTGAGAAAGAAGTTGAGACATCCCAGGAACAAGGCGTTGAGGTGACAGCTGATAAAGAGCAATCCCAAATCATTGGGAAGAAGAGACCTCCCGCACCATTCCCTCAGAGGCTGGCCAAGTACCAAAAAGAGGAGCAATACAAGAAATTCTTGGAGATGCTGAAACAAATCCAGGTAAATATTCCATTGATATATACTTTGAAAGAGATGCCTGGGTATGCAAAAATGATGAAGGACTTGATGTCCAGAAAATTCGATTTCCAAGACTTGGCCACAGTGACTCTTACTCAGACCTACAGTGCGGTGGTGACTAGACCAATTGCTGAGAAACTGTCTTATCTGGGGAGTTTCACAATTCCCTGCACCATTGGTAATTTTGCTTTTGCTAAGGCACTTTGAGATCTAGGGGCTAGCATAAATCTTATACCCTGGCGATTTATAAGAGGCTGGGGATTGGAAGAGCTAGACCCACCTCTATGTTGTTGCAGCTGACTGACAAGACTGTAAAAAGACCCTCTGGTATCTTGGATGATGTGTTGATTCAGGTGGGGAAATTTGTGTTGCCTGCAGATTTTGTGATCTTAGACTGCAAGGTGGATGAAGAAATTCCCATAATTTTGGGAAGGCCGTTCCTGGCCACTAGGAGAGCTCTCACTGATTGTGAGACTGGGGAGCTCAAGATGAGATTTAACGATGAAGAGATAACATTCAATGTGTAGAAATCTATGAGGCGACCAAGTGAATTCGCCAATTGCTCTCTTATTGATGTCGTGGATGTAATCGTAGAAACTGATGATGAGATGCTGACTATTGAGGATCCTCTTGCTGCATGTCTGATGAATTTAGATGAGGTGAATGGAGAAGAACTAGCAGAATGAGTATTGGCATTAGAGGGTAGAGGGTTCTAGGATAGAACTCTTGAATTTGAGCCCTTGCACTTAGAAAATAGAGAAACTCATTCATCCAAGTCGTCCATAGAAGAACCACCAAAGCTGGAATTGAAGCCACTGCCCGCCCATCTCAGGTATGAGTTCCTTGGACCTCACTCCACATTACCTGTTATTATCTCATCTAGTTTGTTAGATGTGCAGGCACAACAACTCTTGCAGGTACTCAAGGAGTGTAAGACTGTCATTGGATGGACCATGGCAGACATTAAGGGGATCAGCCCCGCCTATTGTATGTATAAAATTCTGCTGGAAGAGGGACACAAACCTTCCAGGGAACATCAAAAAAGGTTGAACCCAAACATGAAAGAAGTGGAGAAGTAAGAAGTGATAAAGTGGTTAGATGCGGGAATCATTTTCCCAATATCTGACAGCAGTTGGGTTAGCCCAGTGCAATGTGTGCCTAAGAAGGGTGGCATAACGGTGATAAAAATGATAATAATGAACTGATTTCAACAAGAACCATCACGGGCTGGAGAATCTGCATGGACTACAGAAAGTTAAATCTGGCCACCCGGAAAGACCACTTCCCACTTTCCTTCATTGATCAGATGTTAGACAGATTTACAAGGAGGTCACACTTCTGTTTTCTGGATGGTTACTCAGGGTACAACCAAATCTCCATTGCACCAGAGGACAGAGAGAAGACTTCTTTCACTTG